ACTTACATCTATTCACGCAAAGGCAGAGAGCTTCTTCGAGTCCAAACAATCAGATGAATAATGGTGAAATAGGAGAAGAGAATGCTGAAGAAGAATAACGACGCTCGTCGAGTCCAGTTCGCAAGATCAAATGCCGTGAATGACAATCTTCGTCGGCTCACGTGAGCGCAGAGAGGGCAGAGGAGACGAGAGCGAATAGGGAGCGAACGAGGTTAGCAAACGGGTCAGGCAATTTAATTAGGTTTTTATTCTTCACTTCACTCAGATATGTTCGATCCTAATCTTACAACTCGGGATGCGTTCGGAACAGTTTTTTAAAACCGACACCAGTTCACCGGTTTCCAGATCAGACCGCCGAGCTGACCAGTTCAACACCAATTTTGGGAAGTATTAAAACCAGCAAAATGGTCGATTCATAGTTCGATCCTGTTTTGAAAACCTTGAGCATAAATCTTGTCGACAGTGTGATTATAGTGGCTCAAGGTTTATTTCACATTAATAATATAAGAAACAAAAATCAATAGGTAGTACAATTAATATAGAATATATTATTTTACTTATTTAATTTATAAATAATATCTTATACATGTCGTGCTTGTCAAATCAACAAGCTTACACCTTAATCATTAGATGCAAATAGGGCTTAGTTGTTCTACACAACTTTGTCCTACACCTTTATCATTGGACACTTATAGGGGTGATTAGTCTTCAAACATCATCACATAGGAATCCCTCCTCACCCAAAGATATCTTTAGTAACTAATACAATACACCATTCCTATATAACTGATGAGGTAGCCTCAACTATGTGAGGATGAATATAGGAGGTCTAAAATCATGCTTGTCTTGATGACCCTGTGAAATAATGGATAGTATAATTAATGATAAATTTCATGATAATGATAATTAGCATTATTATCAAGCCCTAAGTTCTAAAGTGAAAGAATTTTTTTGTATGCTTTTATTTTTGTACGATTATTTTTTTTAATCTCATTCTATTCATTTATCATCCAGATCGATAATTATCCAAAGCTAATTCATTGCATTAATGAAGTATAAATAGTTAAAATCATAATTCACATTTACTATAATCAATATTTACATGCTATAAGCAGTGAATAATATGGAACACATTAATGATGATGAAATATATGAAATTATCTTTGACAAGGCAAATTAGTTGAAAGAACGGGTCAGCGAGTTCAACGGAACCGGCCTTATCTAATACGCAACCAAGCGAAGCAAGCGATCAAACGACAAACTGAGTGGGCCGAACGGACTGCACACGAGTGTGGAAGGGTCTAGCGAGGTTGGATCGTGTAATCGAATGAGAATCGCTTGCAGGAGTGAAAGGAAGCGACTCCTCATGGGAAATAACTTCAATTTAATCATTCCAGTGGAATCAAATGATCAAATAGAAGCTTTAGCCCGAAGGATACCATGCCGAGCGGAAGAAGAAAAAGAAGGAAATAAATAGAGAGAAAGGGTAAGGAAAGATAAGGGAGCAAGGGAGATTGAACAAGCAAGGAAGGCAGAGAAGACCAAGAGCGATAGGTAAGATTTGTTCTTTTTATTAATATTATTAAAATATATAATATTTTAAAATAGAATTCTCTAAGCTTTCTTCTAATCTAGACAAATCATTTACATGCCAAAAAATATTTACTCATATTTCTTCTCACCCAATTAAGTTGATCTTCAATTTACAAAATAGGTACTGTTAATCTGCTACAACAAGTATTTCCTTCAATGACTAGATCAAAGTATACCTTTTTTCCTGAACTATAATGCTTTTCTATACTTCAATTTCAAACGCATCGTTACTGTATGAAACCTTCCTGTTCAAAAGAACAATTTCATGTCCAAAGCAAATTAATTCTAAAACAGCTGAAGCACTTAATTCCCCAAGTCAAATAGGAATATAAATTCTACTGGCATTGTAAGAATATTTTTTGTATTTGACCACTAGAAATCATGCTATTGTTATATTTCATCTAAAGTAAATAATGGTTACAATTCTTTTTGTATCATGAACAACTTTGATCTTCTACTAACATGACTTGCCCGTTTAACAAACGTTGATTCCAGATAAGCATGCAATACAGACTAAACATTGCACAAACATTCAGATTTATTGAACTCTTAGTTAAACAAGTCAGGAATTCAGATAGAATTCTTTTTAGATATAAACTTTCAAGGAGTGCCTTGAGCAAAATAAAACCTAAAAAAGACCAACTTAGCAGTCATACTTGCATGATAATGAACCTTCACAACAATGTAAAATACATTGTTGATGAATTCAATTAAATTAATTCACAATTTTGATACAAAGGGTAGTATATCAAATTTCCTGGTAGAAATTAAGAAAATTACTTATGAAAAATTATAATATGGTAGGAGGGCAATTCTCGTTTGCATGAAAGCATAGGATAAACTAAATCAGCAGGAAGTATGAAGTAAGCATTTGAAAAAGTAAGATCATGGTGAAAAGGAAGTAGTTAAGCCAAAAGGTATGCCAGTTCAGCCCACATGCATAAAATTCTCTAACTAAACAAACAAATTTAACATGCCATAGCAATTCCTTTTCATTCTACAAGAATGTGTTTGTTACATCCAAATATATAACTTAATGAGAGTGGACCCCTTGGCATAAAAGAAAAAAAAAACACTTAAAACTTTTCTCACTTATGTTTTAATAAAAAGACGCAATCGGAAGACTTACCTGGAGGACAAAGAGACCAGTGTGGAAGATACATGGATTGATGAAAACGGCAACAAAACTGACCACATTGAAGAGTTCATCAGTTTTTTTGAAGGAATAGGTTGTCAGAAATCCAACATACAAAAACTCGGTCATAATCCACTAAGCTCCATGCATAAAGCTTATTTAGTGTTAGTTTGAATCGAACATTAAAGTTCTTCTGCTGCTCATATGGATTCTTCAAGTTCTCTACTGCCACCACCTTACACCCATCCTCCTTCCTGTTAACATAAACAATGAAAATCTCTTTAACAAAGGCCAAACAGATTTCTAGACTACCAAAGTAATCCCTTAAGACTTTTATTACATAATGAATGAAACGAAGTTCCACAACGTACAGCAACAATGTGTTAGTGTAAGGCTTCATTTGGGGCGGCTTTCTTCCTGCTTCTTAAAGCAGCTTTCTAGCACAAAAGTTAAATTTTTGTTACTCTAGAAAGCCACTTTAAGAACCAGGAAGAAAGCCGTCCAAATGAAGCCTAAGAGATATCACAAATCTAAAAGGTAAACCATTAAATCTTAGGTATTTCTTCAATGCTAACAGACAACCCTCCACAATCAAGTTTAACTCTTTGATGTAGACCAGGCCATGCCTTGCTACTCTAGATTTTATTTTCATTCAAAACAATAAAAAACGTATGGTTCATTCGGTTGACAACCTAACATCTGATACAATAAAACATAAATGAATGGCCACTTGCTGATTAATTTTATTCCGTTGGCTCCATGCCAAGCCGCATAAGAACAACGAAACGTGCATCCATGTCTCCTCATAAGCCTGGCTAGTTAAAGCTACAGCAGTATAATCCAATATGAGTTCAGGCGTGGAATATACAGCTTTAAGCTGGCAAAAACAAAAATGGCAATAGGTTACAAAAAAATATATATATCATCAAAATTTTTTTCTTTAAGAACCTTATTGGATATCATAGTTTTTTACTGAGATATTTCAAATCTTCCCAGGAGTGGGCAGTAAAAAAAGCTAACATGCAGAAGCTGCTTCTGCTGGTCTAAAAAAGGAAAAAAATCATGTGAAAAAATGAAATCTGCTATAGGGGAAAAAAAACTCAAAAGCATTTTCCCTTCCCATAATGGGAAGGGTTCTCAAGTAAACTCTTTAGAACGGGAAGCAATAAAAAATCATCAAAGCGAAACTTTCAGTCAAATTACTGGGAGAATTCTTTTTTTTTTTTTTGGGAGAGTCAAATTACTGGATAAACAAACAAAAACGACGGAAAAAATGAAAAGCTCGAACCACAAAATCATCTGAAACTACTCCAGTAAAAGATTCGTCGTCTTCCTTGGAAAAAACTCCCTAAAATCTAAATCTCGATAATACACCCGGAAAAAAGAAAACGGGAAGAAGACAAATTGATCAACAACCATTCAGCTCCAACCGGCCGGCTTGCCCGCACATATCAACGTTAGATCAGACTCAGCCATATTTTCCACTTTTTTTAAAAAACCAAAGCAAAAATAAAATCCGAATTCTAGCTTAAAGAAGAAAAAAAAATCCTGAACTAACCCTGTTGGCTGATCGAGAAGAAGAAAGCGATATGCAGCGAAGAGAATCCGAACACCGGGACATAATCAGTACAATCTACGTTAAGTAAATGACGAAAAGGTTTTCATCGGGCTTAAGCTTCGCGGGGATCCATCAAAGATGCAGAAATTAAAAAAAAACGAACATCAAGAAAATAACTTACCGCATAAATAAATAAAAAAATTCTGAAAAAAAAAAGTCTAAGGGGAAACAAGATTGTCGAAGTAAGAGAAATCTTAGGTTTCTTTAAAAGGTCGCAAAACTACTTCAGGAAAAGATTCGT